GGAAGCACACGTGTGATCCTTTTGATCTTGCTCTCAACAATTTTATCCACTGTAAATGATTTTATACGACCCTTGTACGTGTGATCCTTTCGATCGTTGCAATTTCCATTCTTGCTCTCAATAATTTTAGTCACTGTAAATGATTTTGTATTGACTCTTGTGATAATAAATTTGTTTTAAAAATTACGAATTACTGCGCATGTAGAAGCACACGTGTGATCGTTGCAATTTCTACTTTTGCTCTAAATAATTTTACCCACTGTAAATTCGTTACGTAGAAGCGTATAACACTGATGAGTCTTGTACGTGTGATAAATTTATACTCTTGTTTGAAACATTATGAGTTGCGTTTGTAGTGTATCCTTTTTTTTGCTCCGAATAATTTTATCCACCGTGAATCCATTACACTGTTACGTAGAAGCGTACAGTACGATGAACTAAATAAGTTTGTTATTACTCTTGCTTCAAAAATTGTATCTTCTTCACGTATGCAATCGATCGATTTTTCGTACCTCTATCTAATATATTTTCTCGCTTTAAAACGAGATTTCGACGTGTTTTCGCAGGATGCCTAACGAGAACGCGCCAGTGTGCGGGTGCGGAGTGGTGGTCGATCTGCCCAAGTCGCGAAATGGCGCGCTGTCCTCGAGACGGCTCACGATCAGAATACCCAAGTCGAAGGGTGGGAAATCGGACGGGCGGGCTGCCAAGAACAGCAGCAGCAGGAGGACGCTCGTGGGAAGAGCAGAACTTCCGAAACAGGAAGTTGCAGCTCGGTGACGGAGCAAGCCAGACCGGTGACGAAAAGCAGCAAACACGAGAAGCGATTGAATCACTCGAGGAGGACCCGAAGCGCGGACAGGGCGGAGTCGCACTACACTTATATAGGTCGGTGCCAAGCAAAATTTTAATCCTCCAACGAATGAAAACAAGCGTAAATCTCCCCCAACATTTCCAATCGTACGAATTATTCTTCTTACTTTTGCTTGATCGCAGAATTCAATATTAATTTTCAGTCTTTCGAAAAACAACTTTCGAAAATATCACTCGTAGAAGAAGGAAAACACTCCAATTGTTTCGTTTAAGAAAAAGAAACAATTGAAACAGCCAATCAAAAATTCATCGAAAGCAAAAGTTCGAGAGAAAAGGGAAAATTTGTCGAAAAGTTTGCCCCACAGAAATCGTATCTATCCGGCACACTCGCCAAGACGATTCTTCTTCTTCTTCTTCTTCTTCTTCTTCGAACTTCAAATTTCCCCTCCTCCCAAAAACCGTCGAAACTCTCTTTTCGAATGGCTTCGTTTCAGAGTCGGGGTCGAGCGTCCTTGGCGGTGGGATAAGGGAGAACGCCATACCGGAGGCGTTGTACGCCACCATCCCAGACACGCCGAACGCGAGCGCCAACGAAACAGGAAATGGTCAATTAAACGCTCAAAGCAGACCGGTTTACGCCATTCCCTCCATGGTATCGCCACCGCCCACCTACGACGTGGCCATCTCGAAAACATGGCAGGTAAGCGATTGTTACGTCATCTTCTTGGGGGAAAAAGGGGTTTGAAGTTGCGAAGTAGTCGCGACCAGAGTGGAAACACACGCGTTGTATATTAAAATTGCGACGAGAATGTAATAATAAATCGATCGTTGATAATTTACATTCCGATCCCTCTTGAAAAATCAACGCTGACGAATCATCGATTTCAAAGTCAAGGTTAATTCCGCAATTTATTATTTGTTTATTCATTTATTTTTTAATTCGTCGAAATGCTATTCCATTCGTCGATTTCATCGAGACCTCCTCTTTGAAACGAAACTTGTCGAGTCCCTTGTTTCACGGAGGGGCAACGTTTTCGATAAAGGAACAAGAACGGCTTGCGGTGGCCGTCGTGTTGCCACGAAATTGAACGATGATGTATCGGCCGACGATGAAATTAGAATCCGTCGTTCAAACGATTTCAACCAGTAATGGCCTGTCCCGGTCGGATCCTGGCCGCGGCAAACGTTTTCGTCGAATCGAATCGATCCAATCGATCCTTCCCCCGCGCAAACGAACCGACGACGTTCCGTTAATTACACGCTCGAGTTGCCGATTGGACGCGAGGAATATTTCTCATCGAGGAAACTCGTGAAACTCGGGACCGTCCATTTTTCGTGGGATTAAAACAACCGCAGATCTGTCCTCCGTTGATTTCAATATTTTTCTTCCTTCTTTTCTTTTTTTTTTTCAACAATTTATTCATCGCGATTTATAAATATACAACAAGGATGGATGATTCCACATTTTTTCGAATACTTTTTATTTTTTTTCTTCTTCTTCTTCTTTAAACGAAAGTCGCGGGGAAGAAGCGAGAAAGCTCGAGAAAGCTTTTATAATCCCGCGGAGGAATTATAGATTGGCGAGCGGTGTGCGAGGTAAATCCGGTGACAGTGAAATTAATGCTTGAATATTCAAAACGCTCGATCCACTCCGCTCGAGTCTTGTTTGCTGAATATTCGATTATTCGAATATAAACCAATCCTCCTCGTTCCGAAAATTCCGAGAGCTTTCGATATAAAATACTCGGATCCAAAAAAAAGTAAAAAGAGCGAGGAAATTTCTCTCGTAACGATCGTGGGATCGTTCACGGATTACGGAGGCAGAAAGGAGGGGAGGAGGGAATGGGAGAGCGACAGGCAAATTGTTCAGAGGTGCTCCTCGACTCGAGAACCATTCGTTCAATTTTTCCGGCCGGCCATTTCATCGACCGCATAGTTTCGAGGCGCCGGCCGACACATAAATTTTCCTCAGAGTCGCGAAAAACAGCGATGCCGTCCCCCGATAATAACCGAGACATCCAAATTTTCCCGATGAAAATTTCCTTTTTGCCGCGTTTCTCCGCCTCTTCCATCTCCCCGTTTTTCGCGACTTTTGGGTTGAGATTAAAATTCACTTCTGGCCGAATGATAGGAGGGAAGGTCGTCTCAATTGCGGAAAATTGAGTTGAGTCGAGAAGTTTGAGATAATAAGGATGATAATTGGGATGGAGATAAAATAGAAATAAGAGACTCGGGTTGCTCGCTCCCTGCGAATTTGATGTTTAAAATTACTAACGAATTCGTAAATCGTTACTTTTTTCCCCCAAATGAAATGTTGAACAAATAACTTTCTCCTGGTAGTTTCCTGCGATTCCACCAATTCTGAAAGAAGAAGAAAAAAAAAAGGAATCAAAAATAACTCCAATTCATCCAATCGAACGGGACGACGACAAATTCCTTCTCCCTTTTACAATAATTTCGTTAATTATCAAATCAAGTTGGCAACCGATTGTTAACTCGCGTTTCAATACTCATCCCCTTCCTATGGCTTCCCTCTTCGACTCCTTTCAACTCTTCCTCGATAGAAATGATATTTAGCCAATTAAACGGAACAATACAAATAATCAACGACAATAAATCCACTCTCCCCCGTTAACGAGAAATAATAATAATATTAACAATGCCCTGTCGAGGATCGATCGAAAACGAACGAAATAAAAAAAGGAATCAATTCGATGAGAGAGGATAAATCATTCCAGACCGGTCTCCCGCCCACCTACGAGGAATACCTGTGCCACAAGTACGCCATGATCTCTCGATCCCACACACCACCGCCGCCATGGTCCGACTCGACGTCGACGACCACGACGACACCGACAGCGCCCACCGTTCAAACTCGTCGCGAATTGTTGGCGAGTCAACCAGAGCTGAGGGAATATCTTGCGCAATTGTCGCTCTCTCAGAACAACGACAGGTCGGCCGGCCATCACCACCACCACCACCACCACCTCCTCCACCACCAGCCAACCGTGCTCAGAGACAGCAGCTATCTCTCGAATCAGCAAGCCTCGAGGGAGCAAGCGAGGGCGCAGCAACGTCCACGAGCCATGCCTCCCAGGTGAGTTCTCCAAGAGAGAGAGAGAGAGAAGCCGAGATATAATTCAGACGACTCGAAATTCGAACCGACAGACATCGCTCTTTTCTTTTGAACAAGCAGAATCTCGTTTTACAAACTCTATTCGCTAGAATAGAAGTTGAAGTACCTCGATCTTGTATACGGATGCCAGTCTTATTTCGAGCTTCTCGTTCTCTCGAACTTATGCAATCATTTCTCTGATATGCTCTATTTCTAACGCATTCGAAACAACAAGGTTAAAGCTTTTGGAAGAAGAAACGTGAACCTCGATCGCCACGGTTTCAGATCCCAGAGCGAGAGCCGCGTGCAACAGCAGAGAATCGCGACCATGTACGAGGATGGGGCGTTCTGCATGGAAACGACCGCGCTGCAATCGGCGTTCGAGAATGGGATAGCCTTGTGCAGCCTGATGTAATCGTCGAAACGAGGAAGGATGATCCCAGGAATGAAATCGTTTTTTTCTTTTTTTTTTCGTTTCTTTCGTTTATTCGAGGCCACCGTTCGAAGAAGAATTTCATCGTGGATGCAACGAATCTTCTTATCTTCTTCATCGATGGATTAATTAATTCGTAGAAGGATCTGCAAGTTGGACGAGGTGATTTTATATGGACGCAGATCCTGGACTTCGTCCCGAGGAATAGTCGAATTTTTCCAACGATTCTTTCGATCGATGGAAATAGAATAAGGGTTGGAGTAAGAGTTTCTCGAGCAAATATAGGTAGATTTTCCAAAGTCGAATGACTGCCATGTGCAGTCTTTCTTCTTCGAATTTTCGGTCGAGAATGGCTCGAAAGATTCGTCGACGATATAGCATTGTTCTCGAATGGTTCAAGGGATCGCAATTACAGAATGTTCGAGGACACTTCGACGACACATAGAAATATTTCTGTTCAGGCACAACGAAACGGAGAGAATAACGAAGTTGAAGTTCCAGCCTCGTGGCGAGCCATCTGTTGTATCCCTGACGACTTTTCATCTTCGGTTTTCTATCGAATTTCGTTCTTTGCAAGTAAATTCAATTTTCGAAGAGACGAAATTTCATACACCAACGCTTTATTGTTAATTTTTTAAAGCGTCTGACACACAAAGGGGGATGCAACGAGAAAGGGCCTAATTTTCACGTTTCTCCTTTTATTTCGGCCATGTTTGTGCCAGGGATGCGATTGTTTACGCAAATTATCCTTTATGGATTACGTCTATGGATTTTTGTATAGTTTAGCGAAGCTCGATATCACGGTATAATTCGCGAGAGAAATAGAAATTTTATAGAGACGGAGATAAGATCAGTAGAAGAAATATATCGGTTACAATTATGTTCGTATAACTTCAAGTGTTGTTTTTCTTATTTCGAAAATATTCTCGTGACGAATCGAGGTATATCTCGTGCATATTTATAATTTAGAGCCAGTGATTGAGACCGTTTTCCAGACACGATATTTCCTTCGATTGCGAGGGAGGAGATCATCGAACCCGATTCAATCAAACATCGAAGCAATAAAAAACCTGTATCTCCTCGAGCATCGTTTCGAAATGGAGTTCAACCTGGTTTTCATCTGCTCCGTTTTATCGATTTAAACGAAAGAAAACATTGTGTGTTCGGTATCAACAACCAGGCCAGTTATCGATAACGTTTCGTATTCAATTTTTCCTTTCAATCGGTTAAGAAAGAAAAATCGTTTTCAATTTTGGAAAATTTCATTTCGTACGATCATCGCAATAATTTGTCGTCGACTTAAAGATGTTTAACACGGGCAAATGAGAGAATATCACAAAATTTCTACAGTTAATAGAGAGACGTGTCGATCTTTACGTGTACTCCTCTTGTACATACAATATACTTACAACTATAGACTATAGTCGTAAAAAAACGCGTTAACAAAGACGTGTGTTTGAATTTCACGTTTAATTTTGACAACACGCGAGTTCAAATTACTTTCGAGCGTGTAAACCGGTTCCGTTTGCGCGAACATTTCGATTCTCTCAGAGGTGGAAAGATTATTATTAACGAACGCAATCCTGCAACAATACTCAAACGGGGTTTCCCTTCCCCGAAACGATTCTCCACGAAACGCTGTTACTAACGTTCAAAAAGATCGAACGAGAATTTGAACGATTTTCGAGAGAACTCTTGCAAGATCGCAAGAGCAATACACGTTTCTTCCAAAAAGAACGATTGTTGTACAACAATAATTCACCGATCGACGTAACGAATGAAACGATTCAAACTCGAGGGAAAAAAATTTTTCGAGATAATAATCATCCTCCGGTTGATTAATTGTAATGATCCTCGTAACGAACCTGAATTCACCTGTGTATGCGTGTGTGTGCGTATGTGTGTGTGTGTGGCGGTAAATAATAATAATAATAATAATAATTAATAATTAATTAATTAATTAATCGTGTAAAGTTATCGAGCCACTCGACGTACCGTATTAGAGCTTAGAGGGATATCCCGTAATTAATTAAGTGATAACTTAACGAACGCGCCCTAGGCGCTACGAACCTACGAATCTAGGTTGTCCTAACGACATACAAAGTAAACGTAGCGTGTAAATTTAAAGTCGAGAAGAGGGGAGGCGAGGGAGAGAAATCGGGATCCAGACTTGTTGTATCAATCGCCTCCTTCCTCCGAGCATTCGACTTCGTTCCGTGTAATTTAACATAGCAACGACCTTCTCTTCGTACAGTTCAAGAATTTGCCCCCTTCGGGCGGCGAAATTCATTGTAAATATTCGAGATCCCTTTCTTCTCTTCCTTTAAAGGACACATCTCTTTTCCCCAATTTTTTTTCTCTCTCCGTCATTTCGTCAGAGATCTGGAAATTAGAAGAAAAAGTTAATCGAATTAGGAAAAATAATAACAATGGCAAACGATCGACTCAATGATTTAAAGGCAGCGTTATCCCGGGGATATAACGCGTGTAGATTTAACAGGACGAGGGTGTCGCGTCGAGCAAAATTGCACGAGCATTTTGATCGAGATTTGATTCTGCGTAATTAAAAATTATCCCTTTTCTTACGCGAGAAGAGAAGAGAGCAACGAGAGTATATCGTCCCCCTTCCTTCTTATTCATCCGCGCAAAATTTATATATATTTCGATTCACAACGATCCCTCCTCCCATTGGTTATCGCGGGTGGATGCAGAGATGGTCACAGGGATTATCCACACGCTGTTCATCGATGACAACTCGAATAACAACGATCCATCTCCTCAATTCAACGAAAAATCGTCGAATTATTTTCGCGTGTAAAATTATAATAACCGGATAATAATCGACTCATCCCCTCCCGCGAATGAACACGTTCAAAGCGAAAACGTCGACCAGGGATTGGAGGATCGAGTAGGATGAACCTCGAGTCGAGACGAGATTGTTCGCGACTCCCCCCAAATTGGTTGTGGAAGAAAAAAGGGGGGAAGGAGTTCAGTCGCGCAGATTAGAAATTCGCTTCTTCCGTTCGAAACGCTTCTAACGTTGGCTGGTATCGATCCTGGAACACGGATTCTTTTAAATTTAAACAATTCAACAACTTCGATTGATTCAATTCGAATATATATCGACGGGTGTAATAATTCGAATTTTAACTGGAAATAAAGATCGAATTTTTCTTGAATAATTTTTAAAATGCGCAACATTCGTTAATAATAAATTTTCCATCACGATCTTTCGAACGTCCGTGGCCCAGGTTTAATCTCTCTCCAATTTTATACGCGTGCGATTCTCTCCTGCTCGCTGTCGAGTACTCTTCTCAACCGGCTTCATCCCCTTGCTTCCGCGAGATCCTCGACTTCCAGCGGACCTGACGAATTCGCGGAGCCAACCCCACACCAACCACTTGATCGCGAGTTTCAACTAAACTAATAAGAGTGCTTCGTTATGCTCGCAGCGACAGGAAAGGATCACCGTGTTCGGGTCGTACATGCACGTCTAAGCGCACACTATCGTTCCATGCGATATAAGAGATAATAAATGTATAAAAAGAAAAAGAAAAAAAAAAGAAAGAAAAAGCAAAAAGAAAAAAATATGTAACAATGATGTTTTACGAAAACGAGATATAATTATTTCTTAGAGCATCGTGGCTTCCAGCGTAATTAATCGCAGGGGGGAATGGAACCCAGGACTGCCAAAGAGCGAGAAACTTCTAAAATGCATAGCTTCTCCCGCACGAGATTAATTTCGTGATCAATTTCCGTGTTTCCAACTTTCGTTTCAACGATCCATCTCCCGTCTTCTCTCGTCTTGCGTTCATTAAAAATATCACCTTCCTTCCGTTCCATAATTTATCTTGCATCTCCAACGATTCTTCGATTTTTGGTATCCACGCGGATGAATATTTTCTTTCATATTATTGATTGTCCCATTAATTGTTGTCCCCTTCCAAACTTCATCAAGATTAAAGAAAAAAAAAAAAAACGTTATCTCCCTCTTGAATAACGATGAACAGTGAGCACACAATCCTCGTTGGATTGCAAATATTATTTATTTAAGTGGAGAGGAATCGTGAAACGAAGGTATGGGCGTAAACGAAACATCACGTTGCGGGCAAGCGTTTCGAAATAATGAGAAATAACAAGATAAAAAGACGTAGCGTTGTAAATGAGCGGTTAAGGAGATAAGAAGATGTAATAAAGATAAAAATGGAAAAAAAGAAAAAACAAAAAGAAGAGAGAGAATCTACGATGGTAACTTATGTAGACGCATTATTATACTCCGATATAGAAAATATTTTTCTCATCATGGTGTATTATATCTCCATTATTAATTCCCGTGAATGTTGATCTATCTCCTGCCCGAGATCGAGGACGCGCGATAGATGTAACTTAAACGTTTCGAAGGCGAGACGAAGGCGGAGAGAAAAGCAACGTTCGTGAGCGAAGGAGAGGAGAAAAATAAAAATAAAAAAGATAAGAAACTAAGCGCATCGTTAATATCGTTCTGTCGGTACCGCGTTCGAACGAGGAACTAAACAAGCTGAAAACCGCTATGTCGTATTGTATGTTGTGTATATTATGAATGTTTAGAGGACCAAGAAATATAATGTACCGGTGTAAAAAAAAAAAAAATGTGACTATCTTTTATTCCCTTTATCTTCCTTTTCGTACTTTTCTCTCTCTCTCTCTCTATATATATATATATATGTATTATAAATGGTTAGGACAGGATTCATAAATTATAATAATTCGTTCCTATTCTAACATTTGAGAATATAAAAATTTTTTCGAGCAGCATTTCTCGAGAAATTAGATTGATTTTCATTTATATATAATGTAATCTTATGTCGAATGTACAAAATAATTCACAGATTGTTCTTTTATTATTAGATATGCAAAAGAGTTTTGATTTTATTCGATTTATTCACAATTCCGAAGCATGGATAATAACTCATTAATGAATTATTCTGCATTATAGAACGCGATACGATACGTGCACTTTTAACCGATACATATAGAAAACTGAGGAGGAGTGGAGACTTTTAAGCGTGGAGAGAAGGTAAGTTGGAACGGTGTAAAATGATCACAAAGGCGTGACTTAAATATCTTAGGTCGAGATCGCAGACACGGTGTCTAATTTCACGGTGTCTAATTAAAGAATGAAACACTTCTCGCAATAACCCGGACAAAAGTGTATTTACACTCAATTGGGACAATGCTCGCGAGAATTGATTTCATCGAGTTTACGTGCCTTCACTTTTGTGAAAAAAATATAATTAAGAAACGAAGGAAAATTGAAGGAAAATGTAAGGAAATTTGAGTAAGAAAAAAAAATTGAGTAAAAAGAAGAGAAAAAAAAAAAACTAAGATTTTTCAATGAAAAATTTGTGGACAGATGAAAGCAAAAGGAAGAAATAACGTTGAGAATCAAATTCAACTGTAAGAATTATCATACAGACAGAATAATTTATTAGCATGCTCTTTTCTAAACATTCCTCGATATCATCTTTCACTCATTCAATAACCGACTGAATTTCCAAGTCAATCTAATAAGATATCCGTGTTTGTAATATTACCAAGAAAAAAGTCAGTAATGTCGCACAAATTTTATCATTATAAATCAATCTCTCCAATACCATTTCGAATTATTGTTCCTGTCACAATTAATATTCCGGGGCGACAATTTGACGATGAGGAATAATTAAATTTCTCGTTATGCGCGTTGAAATAAAGATCGCCACCAATTAAGTACGAATCCCGCGTTTTCTCTCGATTATTGCACCGATTAATCGGGGATATTGGCTCTCTATTAGCGGTTCGCCAACGGAATGATAATCAATAGCCGATTCGTTATCGCTATTTCGATTCCACTTGCGCTCTATCAGCGAGAGAGAAAGTGTCTTAATCGTCGATCTCTATTTTGTCACGTTTTGTTTGAATGTACGATAGTCGTGATTCGGAGAAACGATTATTTAACATGCTTCATTAATTCGCGTGTAGAGTATTTCTGTTCGAGCTCGGTTGAAGCCGATGCGAGATATAAATATTATGATGCGAGAGAAAAATGAAACGAAGAGAATAAAATGTAATTTAATTCACGAATTATCAAAAGAAAAAAAAAAATGTCACGTTTTTCAATCGAATGTGATACGAACAAAGTTGCAAGTCGTATCGATGTCATCCGTGATCGGCAGTCAACGTATTAAGTTGCATTTTCTACACGATAAGTAGTAAATATGAACAGCTAAAATGCGATAAGGTATAGTATGACGATAAAAAAAGTTGCAATATCAATTCGCATATAATTATATAATAACGAAATAAGGAAATAGGAAAAAAAAAATAAACAAGAAATATCAAACAATAAAATATCTCGAACGAAACGATTCTAGAATTCTGATTTGTATGCAAAATGAAATATCCATATTATTACTCGGCACGCTTTCTTCTCGAGATATCGATTTCGTAATGAATTTTTATGAGAATGGAGGTCTGCGTCACAATGATCTTGCTTACTTTCATCATTTCATTCAGCTTATAAATATAAATGTAATCGAATGTAATATTAAACATTTATCGTTTCTTATCGATTAAAAAAAAAAATGCCCAAAAGACGAAGGAACTTGAAAAACTTAATATTACAGTATAGTTCGTTCGATGTGCAAAAGGGACGGCAACGATACGGATCAAATCCGTGATAAAACTAAACGTATTAACACCTTTTACCACTTTAATTCGATCCCACCTCGGTTTCCACTCGTATCGATCATTGTCCACATCGTCACGATTGATTAAACTCGCGCCAATTTTTAATTGGAATTAACGAAATTCAGATCGAATTCAAATTTAAAATCATCTTCGAGCACACTTAATACGGATCAATCATGAAAGAGTTTCCTTAAGTTAATCCAAATATCGAGATATTAAGATGCAGAAATTTTCAGGCCGTTCGGGACACGAAAGATCCTCTCCTCAACCGGAAGTTCACCGATGAGGTACCTCTTTAAGCTGTGAATCGCCGCGGACGAGTGTCCAGTGCCGATGAAGGCCAAGGTCGCGTCTCTGCCAGCGTATTCGAGTATCACGTCGGATCCACCGGGATGGCTTTTCAAGAAATCCGTGCAATCGTACACAAAATCTCGAATCACGATCCAACAACTGTCGATCGTATCGTGCCACGCAACTTCGTTCAAATTGATCGTCCTCGGCTCGATCAAATTCTCATCCAGCGATTCTTCGCCATCCAATATTCGTCGATTCGACGACTCCTCCTTCTCGATGATACTCCGTTCCTCCAACTCGAGAAAGCCTTCTTGCTGGGGCTTCGCCTCCAGATCCATGCTTCTGGTTGTGATTTTCCTATTTCTGAAAGAAAATAACGATCGACGAAAACAAATTGTAGTGAATTGCGAAATTCAGTGTTACATCACTGTGGAAATAGCTGATAAATCAGCTGATGTAACGCGTTTGATTTTAGAAAGAGAAAAAAAATTATCATTCAAATAACACATGCAATTCGTGAATAATATGAATAAACAGAAAGTTCACGCGGAAAAAGATAAAGCGAGAGAAATTGCTCTCGTAAGATAATAGGTTAAATCAATTTCACGTCGCCATTTGCCTCCATCGATATCGCAAGTGCACACGTCTTGATCAATTACCGTCCAATTATACGTCCAAATGAAAATGATCCTCGAGAAAGGGAAAAATTTGATTTCGAGATTAAAGAGGATCTGTGTTTCTTCCTGATAACATCCAAAAACGAACTGTCACTCCAACGATCGTGAAACTTAAATAATAAACTCTATCGAATTGGAAGGTTATCGAATTCTCGCTTTTTTAACAGGTTTATAAACGACAAAATTTTGTACTCGTGATCCACTCGTGAAATCGCGTGGATTGTTGGCAAAAGAAAAATGTATTAGGAAATGTTTTTATTAGGATGATGCCGAGATTGATTTGGAACGATCGAATTCAAACACACAAAATTCGAGACTAAATTTGAGAAAATTAAACGAAACGATATAATAATGGATGAAAGAACGAATAAGATTGATGGAACGGTACTCGTAATCAAATTAATATCTAAAATTAAAGCAAAATTTTATCACTCGAGATAGGAATAGCAAATTCGACGTTCACTCGATTTTACAATTCCGTATATCGAGCGGAAATTTTAATATTATAATGCTATTATACATTCTTTAAATATTGCACGAACAAAACTTTTTCAAATTCGCGAAGAGATAATTTACTAGTTATCAGTTTCTAGAACGTGATATATCGATAATAAGAATGATTACTTTTGTTCTTCCTTCCAATTATCTTGTATTTTTCTTCACTATCCGAGCGACGAACTTTTCATCGAAGAACTTACACACGGTACTGAAGCACCGTCGAGAAATCAATTCTCCCCTAAGTGAAAGGAAATCTAATTCTATTACCGGTTGAAACCCGATGCATAAACTAACTGTTCTCTGATCGTGTATTAAAAGATTCTTCTCTGTCGATTCAATAATATTATTAGTCGAAATATTATAAATAATTATTTAAGATGCTATTATTAAACATTTTCTCACTCGTTTAATAAGAATCAGCAATTTTAACTAGATAAATATATTTTATCGTAGGCTTCGCTTTTACTAAGAAACTGAAAGTTATATGTATTTATATGTTGTATTATAATTTTTAATTATATATTATAAATTGATCACTGATTGCGAAATTGAATTCTATTTTAATATCATCGTGTATTTTTTCATTTTAATTTTATGGCAAAATTTAATTGTATAAGTGTGAAAAAATATATCTAGTCTGAAACTTAAAAATTAATTATTTTAAGAAAAATAGCTTGGTAATATAATGATATTCTAATATAATAAGATGAAAAAACACAATGATAAATAAAATAAAATATCGTTAAATATGATGATATGTTATTTTTTTTAACGAATCTACGAAAAATAATTCATACTCAAGGATAGAATTATTTTTTTAAATAACAATAAACTATTAATTTATTTCGACTTTTAACTAATAGGAAATATTAAAGTTGAAAAATTTACGTTAAATTAATTGTTAAATTATGTACTGTAAAAAGATTAAAACTAAATAAAATAATCAAATTAATTAAATTAAATTTAATGAATGAAAATTTTTTTATACTCAATTTTAATATTTCGATTAAAGATAAAATTTAGATGAAATACTAATTTTGATGTCCTGTACGATTGGTCATGCAGAGCACAAGAAATAAAATTTCATCAGATGATAATAGAGGTAAGGTAGAAAATAGATTTATCGTTTATGGAATTTGATGAATACCATTAGAATAAAAAATAGAATAGATGTGACATCTTATGGAACTTTACATCACTGATCTGAAATACCGACCTCAAAAAAGCTATCTCGTATGTCACTTAACGCCATCTAACCAGTTATAATATAAATACGTATACAAAATTAAAACGTTAAAAATTATAAAATAAAAATCTGTGCTTATATTTCATAAATAATGATAATAATGTTTATTTCTTACCTCTTTGCATGATGGATAATTGTCTTATTTTCTTGAAAGAATCACTGATTCTATACCGAAAAACGAACATTTAAAATAAAAAAATAAAAATAAAAAACTATTACGTTTCCATTTTTATCGTATAATATCGGCGAACAAACACTGATTCTAATTTCGCGTATGATTATTGTTATAATTAAATTCACTTAACACTTATTGTTCTAAAAAAATACGAAATATTACGAAATAAACACTGACTCTATCGACCACATTGCGCGTGATCACAAAAATTTTCTGAAAGAAAAATTGCGTTAATAGAAAGATAATTAAAATAAAATACCTTTACGTTTCTAAACATATGAATTGAAAATTCGACGACGAAAGAATAAATTTAATTTATTTGCATTAAAAAATGTCATTTAACATATTCGAAAATTAATATATTAGTTACTTAACGAGTATATTATTACAATCTAATAAAAAGGAAAATAAAATATTAAAATTTGACAGGAAAAATTAAACGTTACCACTTTTTCGATCACGTTGAATGGTTGTTAGCGTCCATATTGAAATTTTTTCTCTCTTTGTAGATTATCCCAATAATCAATCGATAATCTGCACAGAAGATAATCAAATTTTTAGAATAAATATATAAAATATATGAAATTAGAATCAATTATATTAAAACAAAACAATAATCATACTCAAATTCCATATAATTTAATTATTCTATACAAAAGTTAATAATATTTTTTATCATATTTACGATATTAATAGAAAATTAGGTTAATAAAAGAAAAAGGTAAATTATTTCTCAAAAAATAATTAGATATAATAACATTCGATAGATTATCGAATAAATATAATTAATTGAACAAAAATATACAAGAAATAAAAATATAATTACAGAAATAATATATTACGTAGTAATATTAATCACGCACCTGCGAAACGAAACGTCCAAACGCCACGACTTTCAATAGTAAAATGACGCGTCGAAGATTTGTTCGGAAGCAAGAAATCAAAATATACGTCGAGCATATATATACATATATAAACAAATCATCAATTTCTCAGAAAGAGAATTATAAGAAATTTTGAACGTAAAGTCGAAACAATAACAGTACGAATTGAATGCCCGAAGATACATTTACAAAATATATGTGAAATAAAATTTAATCAAAAAGATTTAATCTACTTTTATTTTTATATATAATATAAATAAAAAAAATTATAATAATTATTATACATTTTTTGTATAATAAATCAAATTTTACTATATTTGCATTTGAAAGTAATGAGTGCATAACCTATTACACGTTTGAAATAATTAAATGATAATCTATATAAATAAAGATCAGAACCATGAAACAAATATATAAAATTGGAATAATATTAAAATAATTAAATTTAAATCCGACTTCAGATGCTTATAACACAACTATATAATATTTATTACAAACTACTGATGAAATGACTAATTGAAAAATATGCGAACAATAAAGAAAAAACTCAAAAGATAATTGAATTTTGATATAATTATACTTGGTAAATGATTAAATACACATAAATAAATTAAACAAAAGCACTACAAATTATATTACAATATCAAATTTCACAATTATATACCTGAGCCGGTGTAACACATCCTCTCTTCGTGATTCTTGATAGTAAACTGACGCCATATATGATTCGTCTAATTACTGGGCCTTAGCAGCTTTCCGATTGGCTGAAGCGACACAGTTCTTATTCACTTCAACCGCGCGAAAATTCATATATAATAGAATATATTTCAAACGTAGATTTCTATATATATTTTTAAAATTTTACAAAGACACGCTAATTAAAAATGAAATAAGACTAGATTATTATAATTAATATGATACAAAAATTATTAAATCAAATTAAGATAAATTAAAGATAAGAACTGAAAGATAAAACTGAATATTTAAAATAAAAATGGATATAAAAGAAAAATGTATCTAAATTAAAGGATACTAAAACATGACGAAAAATTATTAAGCATTTCGTTTAACTACTTAATTTTTTAATAATTAATCTTATTTATATCTATATTAAAATATTCTAACTTTTATTTTATGCGAAGAATAATCACAAAATAACCATAAATAAGTTTATTCGTTAATATTTTTTTAATTTGATTAAATATAAAATAGAAATCTATTAATTATTTACTAGATTTTTTTGAATAAAAATTATTTTTTAAAAAAAATGTTCTAAATTTGATTCAAATTTTATCTATACTTTTAATCTTTATTCGTATATGTATATATATATATATATATATATATATATA